ATTAAAGTGAGTGAATCCAGCCAAATAAGTTCTTAAAAATTTGATATTATAAACGTTTGATATTACAAACCAATGTATTGAAACCGCACGGTCAAAAGATTAAGAAATGTTATTTTAGAATGTATAGAAATTGTGATAGTAAAAGATTATCTTAATAAAGTTTAGAGATATGGCTTGTTTGTATTTTTTATTATGGATAATATTGCACAGAAAGAAACCAAATTGAATTTTCATATAGTATAAATCAAGCAGTCATAGGAAAAGAGATATCAATGAAATTTAGAAAAATTATTTTTTTTTTTTATTGCTAATAAAATATTATTTTATTTTGTTAATTTTTTTTTGATATGTCTAACAATAAATATATATATGTAATATGAAACTCATAGTATTACTTATATCAGTATATAGTAACCAAATGTAGTAACTATAGTAAATAAAACATATACTCAACAAATATTAATGTTTGAATATGTTATACAATTAATTTTATGAAAAAAAAAAAATAAAGGGAGATTTCAAAAATATAAATGTATGAATTTATGCTTCGAAAGTTATATGATGTTATAAGTTAGTTAAACAATTGACAATATTTTGATAATTTAAAAACATATTCAATCGATGATAATTAAATATCCCATGTAATTAATGATTTAGAAATTAAAAAAAAAAAAAAAAAAAAGAAAAAAAAATAATAATGAATCAATCAATCAATTCTATTAGAAACGAGATGGTTAAAGAGATAGTTAACTTTATAGAAATATTATTTTATGGAGTTTCTTAGCAAGATTATCCGCATTCCGTGTCCCTTTGGAGAAAAGTTAGAAAGATAGGAAATAACGACGAACGTTTCTCTTCTCTTTATCTTTTTCTTTTATTTTCTTTATCCTCTTTTTCTTTTTTCTTCTTTTCCCTTCGTTCTATGAGAAAGAAGGAAAGAAGAGAAGAAGTAGAAAAAGAAGAAGGGGAGGAGAAAGAGGAAGAAGAGGTGGTCATCGTTGCTTCTCCTCACCGTTAACTTGAGGAATGTAGGTTGACCCCGGACGACTCCAGCGATTATTGCTTTCCTGTAACCGTAGCGAGCTTAAAGAAGCTCTCGTTACAAGTTACGAGCGAGGTTCCTCGTAACGGCTCGTTCACGAAGAAGATCCACCACGAACATTTCTTTCTAAATAGCCGTGAACTTTACACTCACTCATCGATAATATCGTACGTGAGTTTTAGGGTTACTTGAGAGAGAGAGAGAGAGAGAGAGAGAGAGAGAGAGAGAGAGAGAGCGAGAGAAAGAGAGAGAGAGAGAGAGAGCGAGAGAAAGAGAGAGAGAGAGAGAGAGAGCGAGAGAAAGAGGGGGTGTTATAAATAATTTGAAATCATATGATCGATATTTAATCATAATTTATTGTGACAATAAATATTTTTTTAATATCAATGATTAATTATTAATAAAGTTTAATATTTTAATACAAATGTTTCATTTGTATTAAACTATTAATTATTAATATTTTACTTTATAATATGCGAATGATTTTTATAACATGCGAAGTTTATGCGAGTTCGATGATATAAAATAAAATTTTGGAAGATTTAAGGATATTTGTGTAGTTAAATTTTTGTTAATTTGCATCATTTTAATCTGCAATAATATTGTTGATTAAATTTTTTTCTTTTTTATTTTTGATATTTGTATGTTAGACAACATTTCTAAACATTTTTACTGTCTAACAATAATGTTCTAAAAATTGTGTAGTATTTTTTCTTAGCATGTTATAATTTACAAAATTTCTTTGATGAGTTGCCTGGCAAATATTCTATAATATTCTTAAAGCGTTAAAATTAATTAACTTTTTAATTATTAATATATATTAATACACAAATTGTTTGTTATTCATTAGGAAGATCATAAGATTTAGAAATTGAAAGAGTTTAGTAAATTATCGAGTTCTAAATCATGAAAAATTTAGAATAATTTATTTATTAAATTAACATTTTATTATTAATATATCATATTGTCTCTTAATATGCAAATGATATGGTACTCATTCATCGGTTCATAAAACTTCGAAGTTGGAAGAGATTCGAGGACGTTTAGTCAAATACCGATGGGAAGAGCGTTAAATCAGGGAAAACGTAGGGACACTCGCCTTCCCCGTTCCTGCCTGTCGGAAGACAAATGTCATTGGGAGAGGATCGTGTGTTGGAGAAGGAGGTCCTTTTCGGAGGCTTTCGCCATAGATGCATGTTCTCTTATGGCGGTAAATCAAGGCCGGTGATATTAAAAGGCCGCTTATACGCGAAAACATAAGATTTATTTCTAGGAGAAAGGAAAGGATAGGAGGAGGATAGAAAAAGGATAGAAAACGATATCACAGAGCTTCTGGCACGTGGATGCTTTCGAATCAGAGAGAGAGATAGAGAGAGAGAGAGAGAGAGAGAGAGAGAGAGAGAGAGAGAGAGAGAGAGAGAGAGAGAGAGAGAGAGAGAGAGAAAGCGAGAAGTATGTTCGTTGAGGGTGTTGGTGAGTGCGAAAGAGAAGGGTGAGACGACGTACAACTCACCCCTACGTTGTTCGAATAATCGTGCAGCTCTCCTCGAAAGCGGTTTGTACGAGCTAATATCGGACCACCGCAGCGTCGCATAAGCGTCGGGGAAAAGAATTCGTATCGTTGATCTCTTCGATCTCTCTTTCTCCTTCTTCTATCTCCTTTGTGGCTATTTGTCTGATCGAATAATAAATATAACTGATTATACGTATAAAGAAAAAGATTAATGACAATAAAATAATAATTTCTTATTATGTATACACATATATCATATAAAATAATAAAAAGTTATATAAGATAATATTTAACATTATATTATAATAAAAAAAAAATATATATATATACATGTATGTATGTATGTGAATGTATATATATAGGGAGTTTTGTCGTAATGATTAGAAAAATAGTGTGACGATATTTACTATGATCATTAGTATTTCTTAGAAATAAAAGGGGAGTGGAATATTAGGGCACGTTCGAGTTAAACGAGTTTCATTCGTAAAAGATCTCGTTCTACGGTAAATTCTGTGCATAAAACAGGATATCGTTCTCGATAGATGGCAATAAAATTGAAACCACAACGAACAGGTTAGTTTTTCTTAAGTCATTGAGATATCAAGGTCCGATTCGTTTCGAAATTATCGACGTACGTATTTTACGAGAATATCGATTCTCTATATTATTGCGGTCTCAATGACGGCTTTGCATTTTCCTTGCTTAACATTACTGATCAATCGGAAATAATAGTGAACGAGATTCGAAGGTTGTTCTCGATCGTTTTTTCCCCCGTCTTTTTTTTTCTCTTTTTACTTTTTATTTTTTAAACTTGCATTCTAAGCTTGTCAGGATCGAGAAGTCGACAAGTTTTCTCAACTTAGATTTTATCGAAGAAGCTTTTGTCTCGAAGCTTTATTATATCTACGATCTAACTTTCACAGGGATTCTATAACCAACTCACTATCACCAACATTATACAGTATTCGAAACGGAAACGGAATTCTCTCTTTTCCACTTCCATTTTCGTGATCTCCAGGGAGCAATAATCGTTGTGGCGCGGAAAAATTCCGCGACAGAAGTTAAACAAAGCCTCGAACGAGAGATAGAGAAATAAAAAAAAAGGAAGAGTCCGGTTGTGTCCGGCTGAGTTTAGTATAGTGGAAGAGAGAGAAAGAGAAAGAGAGAGAGAGAGAAAGAGAGAAGGTTAGAGTAGAATATATGTGGAAAGAGAGAAGCACCGACAGAGAGAGCTTGTCCCGAGTCGGATCGTAATAAGGGTAACTACCCTCCTACCGTGCTCTCTCTTTCCTCTCTCTCTTTCTGTGTTCTCGCCTGTTTGAACAAGGCTCATAATTAATACGCATATTCGCTTCTCGAAAATGCGCTCGAGGGTTCGCCGGGACATTTTTAAACGTTTCAGATATTTGCACCTCATCCTCTTTCGTTTCGATCTCTCGTTGCTTGTATATCATAGTCTATATTACTATCTCTCTTTCTCTTTTCTCTCTCTCTCTCTCTCTATCTCTTTCTATCGCCTCTTTCTGATCTAAAAAATTTTTTTTCCTTTCTATTATATTTTTTTAATCGGAAAAAAATCAACATCCTATAGGATGATTCTCTCTCTCTCTCTCTCTCTCTCTCTCTCTCTCTTTCTCTCTCTTTCTATCTTTCTCTCTCTTTCTATCTTTCTCTCTCTTTCTTTCTCTTTCTCTCTCTTTCTTGATCGGCAGGTCGTACCTGGCTCGTTTGGCCAGAGATATCCGTCTTTAAGAGCATTATCCGGATAGTCGTCTGCTAGGGGATCGGCAAAAACCGTCCGCCCCCTCATGGTATGTGAAAAATGATGCACAACCCCAATCCCCAAACATCTCCACCACCACCATCACCACCACCACCTCCATCACTACTACCACCTTTCTCCCTCGAAAGTCCCGACGGAAGCCGTCGCTGTCGCCGTCGCCGTCGCCGTCGCCGTCACACACTGACGTCTACGTTCTCTCGACTCGCCTCTTTTCTTAGTCCTCTTTCTAGTTCACAAACCAGAAGAAGATTGTGTCAAGCAAAGAACTTGCAAAGATCTATCCCGAACAGATCTGATCCTTTACATTTTTTTCTTGAATATAATAATCTATTTTTTTCTTTTTTTTTTCTTTTTTTTTTCGTTATGTTCTCTCCCGGTCAAGTTTTTTCTTTTTTTTTTGTATTTTAATGAATGATACAAATAATCGAAATTTCTTAGGGAATATAGTTACTTCTTCGATTGTTTATATTTAGGCGGATGAGTTTTAATATTACGTTTGTTGAATTAATTACGTTTTTTTTTTCTTTTTTTTCTTTTTTTTTTCAAGTATCTTTCATAACAGATAAACATTCATATAACGAACACACTATATCTATTCTCGTTTAACAAAGACCTATCTATTTTTTTATTTCCTGACAATCTTTCCTTTTGAATTTTTCCAGATACGCTGAAAGTTACTCGAGGACTCCGCCATCGTCTATCCAAAATGCCGTTCTATTGTGCGAGCCGCATAAAGGACTATTGTATCGGGCTTCCATCAATAACGAACTGTAAGTATCGCTCAAGGAACGATATTCTTTTTTTTTTTTTTCTTTTTATTTATTTATTAATTTTTTTTTATTTCTTACGAATAAATCTTTCGATTGAAATACATATTTAATTTGATCGGATTTTTATTTAATTTTTTATATAAATATTTTTATACATACATATATGTACATATATTTAGAATTTGAAGAAAAAGAAAGAGAAAAATTAGCTTAAAGAGTACCGTGAAAGAGTAATTGATTGTTAAGGACACATTGAATAATTTATAAATATAATAATAAGAAAATATTCGTCGAAGTGGAACAAAAAAAGAAGGAGAAGAAAAAGAAGAATAATAATATTATGAAGTGAAAATGCGTGATCTCTTGACATGACTTTCCGTCCCTCCACGACGTTTTCAGCATCCGGACGAACCGCCTTTCTTAGTTCCGTGTACCATCGTACTACGTTTGCTTCGAGCTGGTGTAACGTGATGGATACGCGAAAGTGTCACCCACACGCCCCCGAGGCCAACGCGCCATCATCCAGTGCGTCCCCTCTGACCATTATGCTAAACCATTGTCCACTATCTGCCTAAGATAGCCGACGGCTTAAGTCATCCTTTTCCTTCTTTCTTCCTCTTTGCCTTTTCTCGAGACCGTTAAAAAATCATTTTCCCCTCCTCTCTCTTCCTCCCTCTTCCATTACCCCCTCTCTCTTTCTCTTTCTCTTTCTCTCTCTCTCTCTCTCTCTCTCTCTCTCTCTCTCTCTCTCTCTCTCTCTCTCTCTCTCTCTCTCTCTCTCTCTCTTTCCCTCTCCGTATCTTGTTTTCGAACTCTTTGGGGTCTGACAATGTGATATTTTTGAAAATCTGTTTGTGACGTATGTGACCCTAATTTTACTGCAGTATATTAATCTAAAATTTTTTGAACTTGTCTTTTTCTACTCTTTCATCGTTCCTCTTTTCTTTTTAATATCTTTTTGATACAAGATGAAGATTAGAAAATCGCACAAAAAATATGGAATGGTAGGAGAATGAAAATAAGATCAGAAAAATAAAACTGTTCTTTTCGCATTTCCACTTACTTTGACCACGATGGAAATATTTGGACGATAAGAGCATATTGATAGAAAATTTCGGGAGTATTGTCACGATCGAGGAGGCGTGGAAAACAAAAGATTCAAGAACGGCAAAGGGAGTCATTGATTGCAGCATTAAACATTTCCTTTTTTTTTCTTTTTCTTTTCACCATAAGCCTTCCATTCCCCCCGTTCATTCGTTCCCATTCTCCTCCCCTCCTCTCTCTCTCTCTCTCTCTCTCTTTCTCTTTCTCTTTCTCTCGTCCTCTTTCTCCGTACAGCGACTATTATTCGGGCGTTAGGCAAATACACAGGAGAGACGACAAGCTCGTCCACGCGTTTTTGTCCTCTGAAAATTCAAATGAGGCAGCGCAGCATATTGCGCTGAATCGAAATTAATGTCACGCAACTAATTATCGCTCGTGAGAGTCATCCTCGTTTCTCCCTCTCTCTCCCTCTCCCTCCCCCTCTCTCTCTTTCTCTCGCTCGCTCTTTCTCTCGCTCGCTCTTTCTCTCGCTCGCTCTTTCTCTCTCTTCTCCTCTTAACCAACGTTCGAGTAACTTTCTTGACATTTGGAGAATTATGATACACTTAGATCGTTATTTTCGTAGACATAAATACCTCAAATTACACTATGTTCACGATCAAACAGACGAATTTTGTATTTCCACGAATTCTCATATAATTGAAGAAAGCGAATTCCGAAATGGTGGCGAAGCGATTGTGTATACCTTAGACTTGTTTACAGAGAATATTATTGATCTCTCGGCATTCTGAAATTCCTAGGCGATGCGAGCCTCAGAAACCGCGCCAGGATCGGCTGCACAATTGTAGGGCAAAAAGCGCGGAGCTGCGGACCCGCAAGAAATTTCTAATTTGCGGTATAATTAAGGGAGACGACGCAAAAACCATCACGGATTCAGCCTCGCTCTTTGGAAATCGCGAATTCTACCTTGCCGAGTCTGCCTTCGTTGAGTCGTTGCACTTTACCTTCGATCCTCGTTGTTTCCACTTTAATCGACGATCTGATCTTTCTTATTTGCGTTTTACCCTTTTCTTTTTTCCTTTTTCATTGTCTTTTATTTGCTTGCATTTTTCTTACAAGAATTTTCTTTTTCATTCATCTATAATTTTTACTTAAACGTTAATTATCGTACCTATTAATTAATTTATTGGACAACTTGTGTTTCAGATACAGTGTGGTTACTACCGAGGAATGGTCGAAATTAACGCAATTTTACGAGGCCGATCACGTTATTAAGATTAAAAAGATCGGTTCGGATTTTAAGACACAGCCAGGTGAGTAAAAAAGTTTGAACAAAATATACGTCGATTGTTACTTTGAAAGAAACTTTGAGAATGTTTCTCGATCGATTGATAGTGAGAGAGAAAGAGAGAGGGGGGGAATGGGGTGGAAGAGATAGGGAGAAGGGAAAGAAGGAATTTTAAGAGAGTCGCCACCCCATTTAAATCTCTTTCTCTCCTCATCGTGTCATTATTGGTCGGTTGCTTTTGCAAGTGGCGCTTTTTCTGTCGGTTAATTTTCAGGATACTTCTTAATTATAATGAAAGACACTCTCTAGGATCTGTTAGGGAAGTCGAAGGGAGAAGGGAGATTTATGTAAATCAACTGCTAATGTCTTTTGGCATTATTCCTTGGCTTAAGCTTTGGGAGTGAATGAAAGTGAGAGAGAAAGAAGAGGACTCAGTTAGAAGGAAACCGTTTATAGCTACTCGCGCTTATACTCGTACGTTTCCTGCACACCGTGCTTGTCCGAGAGGGAATATGGGGTGACAGAAAGAAGAGAGAGAAAGAGAGAGAGAGAGGGAGAGAGAGGGAGAACATTGGTAACGATCCGACGAGGGACGATCGTTTACATAATGACCCCCGTCGAATTGTACGAAAATGAATTGCCGATAAGATCGAACGGTCCTGTAGTGAAATAAAGAGAGATATATAGATAGATAGATATATAGATGGATAGAGATAGAGAGAGAGGGGGGAGAGAGAGAGAGAGTCGTTAATCGAGCGATCGGTCCTTGCCTTCAATCCATTTTGCCGCTTAATTGATACATCGGCACGTTATCAGAATGGAATACTTTTTTTTTGTGTCAGGATTAGAAGGCAATTTTCTCGTCTCTGTAATTATAGGCGACAATGGAGGGGAAAAAAACAAGTAGAAAGAACAAAAGGAATGTTGAGAATAGGAAAGATTAGGACTTTTTAAATTCTAACATGACAAGCATGACTTGTCATGGGTTAATCTCTAATGTCAAAATATACAGTGACGAGTTAAACTCGTCATGAGATATTTCTGATAGTAAAATAATATCCATATGGACATTGAATTAAATCATACGTCGATGAGTTAAAAAAAAAAAAAAAGAAACAAAGAGAAATGAAAACGAAAGAAATTAAAAAGAAAAGAAAAAAATAAATAATAAAATAAGCGTTAAAGTTGTAAAAAATTAATTTCTTGACATCAAATTCGTCGAGTTTTACTCGCTTTATATTTATTAATAAAAATACTGAACAAATAAATAAAAGGTGATAATTCTTTTCGACGAGTCACGTTATTATATACACATACACACACACACACGGACGCGTGCGTGCGCGAAAAATAACCTAAATTAATATACCAAGAAATTGAAAGAAGATAATAGGGACAAAGTAGGTAAGAAGAATGAAAAGAAAAAGGAAAAGAAAAGAAAAAGAAAGGAAAAAAAAAACGAAACGAGTGTTAAAAGTTGTAAAGATTAAAAAACGAATAAAAACAAACGAAAAAAGTAAATATAACGAAAGGCAAAAAAGAAAGAAGAAAAAGGATACGTGGGTTAAGTGAGAGAAGAGAAAAAAAGAGGGGTAGGGTAGGCACAGAGTGGCGTGCGATGTACTTTGTCGTCCGTCTGGCAGGCAAATTGGCTTTAGGAAGGAGAAGGAGAGGTGAAAGAGTAAAAGGATGAGGAGATGGAAGAGAAGGACATCCCTGTGGTTTCACGAAGTAGCTACTCGGTTTGGGTTGGCGGCACATAACACGAAGATCTCTAAACATCCCATTGTCTTGTCCGTCTATCGTTCGTGGACTACCCTCTCTTACGGGTTTCCTTTTTTTCATCGACATTTGTCAAGGCACGTTTTTGAACAGTTCCTTGCCGTCCGGCAGGCAGGCAGGCAAGCCAGGCAGGCAGGCAGGCAGGCAGGCAAGCCAAGCAGTCAGGCAGGCAAGCCAGGCAGGCAGGCAGGCAGGCAGGCAAGTCAGGCAGGCAGGTACCGCCCGCCGTTCTTGACGGCCGACAACAATTTGAATTGCAAACGTGAACGGAACCACCATGCAGAAGCGTTGTTTCGCGTGGCCAGTTCTTTGATTTCGTCAGCTTATCTCGAAACCTTTTTCGACAACTCGATCGAGTTAGTGAATGGAGAATGGAGATGTCTTGTTAGAATTAAAACTTTCATTTCTCCTTTTTTTTTCCTTTTCGTTCGTAAGAATTTCCATCTCTTTACGCTGCTACGAAAATTTCCTGGACCTTGTCCTTTAAATTACTCTCTTTACCTCTTGTTCTCTCTCTCTCTCTCTCTCTTTATCTCTTTATTTCTCTTTCTCTCTTTCAACGTGTTAGACGAAGAACGACGAGTCCAGAACAAACAGACAATTTAGCTTATTTTAAGGGTACGGTTCGTGCTCTCGAATTTGGTGGGTGAAAGCGGTAGAACGAGTAGAGAGAAAGAAAGAGAGAGAGAGAGAGAGAGAGAGATAGAGAAAAGGGAGGAGGTACGTGGAAGGAGGACAAAAAATCGGTGGTTGCTTTCGGTGACTGATACGGCCCTGACTAACGAGCTTCGGCCGGACGATCGTTCCACTCTTAAAGCCTTGGAGGGTGGTCGTTTCTCTCCATCTCTTTCTTTCTCTTACTCTCTCTCTCTCTCTCTCTCTCTCTCTCTTTCTCTTTCTCTTTCTCTCTCCCCCATCTCTTCTCTTTCTTTTCTCCCTCTTTCCTGGCGTCTTTCTCGTACACGAGGGCACATTAGGCACCGTCCAACCTCGTATCAATCACCCGACAGTCTGCGGTGCCCTCGTCTAAGCAGCAGCTCAGCAGCTCCTGCCAACTCGTCGAGCACGGAAGGAGAACCGGAGGTGACGCGATTGAATACCACCCTAACCGATGTTGTTGGCCGGTCTTTCTATCTCTCTCTCTCTCTCTCTCTCTCTCTCTCTCTCTCTCTCATTCGCTATCTTGATGACGATGCCGTCGGAATAGTACCAAGGCAGAAAGAAATGTTTCTCATAGGAGAACACACTCGGTTAATGGTCTAGTGGCAAAAGACGATCGACGACTTGACGAGGAACGTTGATCCGGAACGTATAGTATGCCATGAGTTCTTTTGAAATAGAACCGTGACAGGATATTACGATTATCAGCATCTAACATTTGCTCTTAGGGAACAATATGCATGTTCGAAGCATATAACATTTCTTTTTAACGCATTATTTTATTATTATCATATCAATTTTTTTTTGTTCTCTTTTCTTTTTCTTCTTCGTTTGTCGATAATCATACTTATAACTTAAAGTATAACTTTCGATCATAAAATAAATACGATCATTTAATCTCTACGAGTTTAATCTCTAGTTTAATCTCTAAAAAAAACAAATATATATATATCTTCGCTAATGTACGGTTTATATATTTTTTCTTTTTATTTTTTTTTTTTATTTTTTTATTTTATTCATTTGGTATAGTTGATCACGCCAAATGGCGTCACGTTCATCACAGCAATGTAAACAATTTCGTCAATTGGCATTATTTGTAGTGATTGTGTTAATGGTATATCGATTACTTATCTTTCAAGAATATATTATATGTAATTTTAAAGGAAGAGAAAAGGAAAGAAAAAAGATTTATACTTAAATTTACATTGTTAACGATTAATTCTCGAATGCTTAAGCACTCGAGACAGGTTGGAACGCGTTTACGAAATGTTTTCCTCGAAGTCACTCTTTATATGCAATTAAAAGCGATTCTGAAAACTTTGCGCCGTTGCGTACGGTGTTTCGATTCTCCGAACGACGCTCGTAAATATCGCTTAGGCGCCAGGCTGTGCTACAAATCAGGCGTGTCCGTAGCTACGGTACTGTGTCTGTATCGCAAAACCAGGAGAACCAACGGACACACAGAGAGATAGAAACTACGGAAGAGAAAAAGATATAGAGATATAACTAGAGCTGGAGATAGAGATAGAGATAGAGATAGATAGAGGTGGTCGGTCTCGAATTAATATTCGGACGGCGATTTAGATTTAGAACACGAATTTGCTGATTAGTTTCCTACAAGGGAGAATGTGGTCGCTTCAGTTGCACTCCTTCACTTGGACGTTAAGCTGTAATGGTGATGGTGGTGGTGGTGGTGGTGGTGGTGGTGGTACTAGTGGCGGTGGTAGTGATAGTGGTGGTGGGAGATGGGAGGAGGGGGAAAGGGAATACGTTTTCGAGTCGAGATTTAGATTCCTGAGAGAGGGTTGGGGTCTTAGCAGGGGTCAAACGCTTCAGGAGAGACATTTGTTAGTTCTCTCTCCCTTTTCTGCGACAAGTGCGCCGGACACGTCTTAATATATGCATCCTATGTAGCAATGAACACGCCTTTATACAAATTGTGTTCGTAGTTTCCTTCTATAATATACCATCGTTATTTTCTTCTAATATATTCTGATTGATATTGATAACTTAAAATGGATTTTGAAAAGTTATAGCGAATCATCGATATCAGGAAATCGTGAATATAAATGCTTTTTTCTTTTTTTTTTTTTTTTACGTTTTCCAAGGAATACCTTTTCTGTACATAGGTGATTAAAACGCGATAGGAGAAATAAAAGTACATATATTGTTTTCCTTCTCATAGGGCGAAAAAGTAATTTCGAGTAGGTAATCGCAAGAGAAAGGAAGAAAATCGAGCAGGAGATATTTCGTTGGGTCGAATTAGCAGCGTCGAGTCCTAAACGTGGCACACGAACGCTCCCCTCCCTCATCCAACCTTCTTCTTGGTCCTTCTCATCTCTTATCCTGCAGAAGATCCCCACTTGTCCGTGCTCAACGAGGGATCCTTTTCCTCCAGGATTAAATGGAGCGCCTAGATGACCGATGCTCGGTCCTGCGGACTCTCGAGTGTGGAATAAGGGGGGGTTTGGAAAACAAGATAAAACAAGGATAAAGCTCGCTTAGGCTCTATCTACTCTCTTTTCGTCGGCTTTCCTCAAAGTGTCACGTGCCTGCGTAAAAACAAAAGATTCTTTGACGGTACTCATTGGTTCGTAGCGAGAGGATACACATTTTATTTATTTATTCTCTCCTTTCGCTCTCTGAAAAATTAGATTTTCTTCCTTCTTTTTTTTTTTTCTTTTTTTTATTCGCTTTAACAATTTGTTTCTTAAAAATATTACACACATATTAACAATTCGGACAAATTATTCTAGTGAAAAATGAAAAATTTTGTAGTAAAAAAGAAAGAAAAAAGGAATTAAAATAGAAAACGCTTGCAGGATGTTACAATAAGAAATATCACGATTGACATTTAAAAGTTCGAAGCAATGGGCATAACCAATTTAATTAGAAATTACATAGATCGATCGAGTGTCTCGTTGCGTTCTTCGCATCGAAAGTTGGTTTTCTGAGTTTGTTTTTCCTTTTTTTTTTTTTTTTTTTTTCGTTTTTCTCTGTCCCTCTCCCTCCCTTAACCCCGTCATCTTGGAAGGTGTTTTCTGCAGATTCCGTTTGCAGATTCAAGAGGAGCGACATGCGTAATACCGCATTAAGCTCCGATTACACGTGTATACGTAAGGTTCCGACTTCATTGTCATCTAAGAGGATTACCTTTCGACTTTGTTGTGGCACTCGAAGACGTTCGTTAGCGAAATCATTATTACCACACGGTGATCTCTCCTTCCTTTCTTCGACGAAAACGCGAAGCTTACGGTATCCTTAAGTAACTTCTGAGTTTCTCTGTTAAACGAACCAAAGTCGTTTTTACTTCAACCATTCTTCCTCTTTTTTCCAATCTTTTTTCTTTTTTTTTTTATCTTATCTACGATTAGGAAAAATAATTTAAATGAATTAAGTCGATATTTCCGGAAATGGATATTATTTAAAATTCTTATCTAACGTATTTGTGAAAACGTCTTTATTTTATCATTAATATTCTTATTAATGATATTAATGATAATAATGAATGATAAATAATTTCGTAAGATAAACGATATATATATATATATATATATATATATATATATTTATATATTTTTATTTATATATTTTGATTAGTATTTATAAGAAAATATTGGTACGTAATATAATTTGCCAGTATAAATAATTAAGTTTTTAGGATTTGAGTCTATGATTTATTCTAAACACCGACTAATTATTTAATATACTTATAAATTTTTATATTTACAAATATTTTGATTGAAATACTGACTGTTTTTGTATTAATCGATGTAATACTGACTACATATATTAAATATTGATTATTTATTTTATATACTAATTAAAATTTTGTTTAAAATACTGGCTTAATAAATAGCTCCACATTATAAAATCACGTTTACTATTTTTTTTTTTTTTTTGAAAAGAAATGATATAAGAATTCAGATAAGTATTTACAAGGAAAAAGCATCAATCTTTTATTCACGTGTTCGTTCCAGAGTTATGAACGAAAGTCATACGGTCCTTTTAATATAATATCACCTGCCAGTCATGTCCTTTTCTTTTCTTAATGTGCATTCGATTATGATAGAGAAGGGATTGCAGAATTTTCGTAGATTAGATTAATCGTAGTTGAATGATCATGATTTCTCTCATAGTTCTTTTTTTTTTTTTCTTTTTTTTAAAGAAAAACAATTTCCAAAAATAATGAATTCGTCTTTGATTTGTGATTTTTCAAAGAGAAACGAAAAAAAAAAAGAAATTGCCACTTCATTACAATTTAATTCAATTTTATAGCAGCCGCACGTGCATGCTTAGCGTTTGTAATCTCTTAATAATTTTTGTTACACCATATGGATACGAATTTTGAAAATAGATCCAAACAGTTAACTGGTTAAGGGATCGGTTTGTTAATAGTCAGTACTTTTTTAAGATAATATATTATTGTTTGAAGATAATAATAATAAAAAAAAAAAAAAAAAAAAAAAAAAAAGAAAAGAAAAAAAAATAGAAAAAAAAACATGTGTTTATCCATGGAATACGATGTTCGAAGAATTTCAAGTGGCACGCGCGTCATTACTTTTACGACTTTCTCAATTTCTAAGCATCGGCCTTTCTTTTTCTTTTTCCTTCCCTTTTTTTTTTCTTCTTCTTTCTTCAGCATCACATTAATCACCTCGCCGGATGACGCGACAGACCCCTTCGGATCGCGTTTCGTGCTCCGAGGCGTTCGCCAACGACCATTCTTGCTTTTCGTCTAACCGTGACGATCGTTCGTTTTTTTTTCTCTCTCTTTCGCCAATTTTTACCGTCCACGATGCGCTGCTGCTTCTCTTTTCGTTCCTACCCTAATATAACTCCGGTCTTTCACGCTTCCGTGCCAGAGTAATTCCCAATATGGGATCTTGGCTTCTTAACTTTTATAGTAGCCGAGTGTCCTCTTGATTTGTCGAATATAATCAGTCTAGGTTTATATGAAAATTGTGGACATAGATTTGTTTCCTTCTCTTTTTTCTTTTTTTTTTTCCCTCATTACTTTTGTCACGTTTTTAATTCTAGTACATACCTATTTGAATTTAAGTTAGAGTCTTCGATCTATTTTTCAATTTTTCATGGATACTCGATTCTCTTATTTCTCTCTCTCTCTTTTTTTATATTTTATTTATTTTTTTTTTTTTTTATAGAATAAATTTCTAAATAGTTAAGTAGTTTAATCTCTCTATAATCCAATTTCTTTCTTCGTGTTTACCAATAAAATTCTACAATGCTCCTAAGAAAAAAAAAATTAGTATAGACATCTAACATAAGTATGTTATGTTAATGTTACATGGCGTCATAGCGAGTATTCATTTCAAATTGTATGATTTTATCATATTTTTAATCTCGAGATATTATCTTACTCTTTATTAAGGTTTCGTATACATTTTTCTCAGAAGGATATTCTATCGACAAGAACTTCTCCCCAATGGTCCTATTCCTCCTCTTATCCTTCTTCTTCTTCTTCTTCTTCTTCTTCTAAACTAGATTCGTTCAAATCGAAATCGGATCGAAGTTGTAGCAAAAGTTTGGTCGTTCACTGTTAAGCTTCGATTCCATTCGGCACGAGCCAGGATTCTCGTTGAGCGGCTTTTCCTTGAGCGAGAGGATAAAATCCTTAGGAATCGACCCTTCCTCGAACCCGCGAAACTTCTCCGTTCGATCTCCAGCCAAGTTTTTGCTTCGTTTCGACTACCGTTTATGGTTTGACTACTCTCCGATGGCACTTTAGGGAAATACATGGTTGCTTAGAACGAGCAACCGGTGGACTCTCCATTGTGTATCGTTCGTCAATAAACCTCAGTCTAGAGGTTCGTCTAGTTTGAACTGACTCTTTGGAGATCGTTTATGGTCTCTCGGTATATCGTAAAGTCGAATGTGGACTGATGATGTCTTTCAACGATAAAGATAAATACCTAAATAGGTTTCACTAAATATCTTCAATATTAACCTCTTCGTTGTCGTACGTCGTTAATGTCAACTTGACATCCTTTTACAGCGAGTCCTAATGTCAAGTTAATTACACGAATTGTAAAAATACTTCGTATAAATATGTCTTGTTGTTCTTCTGTTAATTAAATTGATAAAATATAATTAAATAACTTAGAAATTACTCAACGAAAATGGTCAATCAGCGATCGTTACGAATCGAATGAAATGAAAAAAAAAAAAAACGGCGAGAATAACTCGAATCGCAAATGAGATTAAATAAAATAGATTAACAGAAATAAGACATGTTAAAATCCATCGATTTTCATTGATCGAAATCTGTATTACGAAACTGACACGTGTTTTTTGCGATGATAATCCTCATAGGTAGTTCTCGGTGTCATGGCACGTTTCACGGTCCTTTCGATATCGGTGCTCACGTCGGTAATTAGAAGGCTATGGGGGTGGACGGACATTCGAATTCATTTGGGGTCGACTCGCAGGGTGACTACCAACCAACGTTGGTACGGTATTCCTATAGCCGAACCTCTTTCCTTCCTTCCTTCCCTTCCTTCCTTCCTTCCTTCCTTCCTTCCTTCCTACCCCCTTCCTTCTTCCCTTTCTCTAACAACCCTTGGAAAACTGTCTGAACATGACGTAACGCTCCTGAGAGGCGACGGCCTCCAAGCCGATGCTTTTTGCGCTGTCCGGCGAGCAACAATGGCTGCTTCTTATGGTGCCCTGGTCACCGTATATTATTAATTACTGTATTAATCTCGGCCGCCGCAAGCAATCTATTATACATGGGATAAGAGCTACCATCTCGCCATCAGCGCTTTCCACCCACACTTATACATGTGGACGCACGAATTAACGTTGCTCTTCGACTTTATAACTTTCTCCTCTCTCTCTCTCTCACTCTCTTTCTCTTACACTCTCTCTCTCTCTCACTCTCTTTCTCTTACACTCTCTCTCTCTCACCCTCTTTCTCTTACACTCTCTCTCTCTCGTTCTCTTTCTCTCTCTTTTTCTTTTTCTTTTTCATTCTCGAGGATCATCGATCGAATCTAAGCAGCAGTATCAGTATTAGCAACGTCAGAGGGCAAAGAGTTCTTTCTCTCTCTCTCTCTCTCTCTCTCTCTCTTTCTCTCTCTCTTTCTCTCTCTCTCTCTTTCTCTCTCTTTCTCTCTCTTTCTCTCTCTCTTTCTCTCTCTTTCTCTCTCTTTCTCTCTCTTTCTCTCTCTTTCTCGGGTCAACAAATTATAAATTACAAATTTGAAGGGATCACCTTGATGAAATTTCAAGATACAATTTAATCGTAAGGATAACAAACTTTTACAACTTCTTTTTTCTTTTTTGTTTTGTTTTGTTGTAGACTCTTGTGCGTCTTGCATGTTAGCGAGGGTGGAACAGGAAAGATTGGAGAGTCTCAAGTATGACAAGGCTGTTATATATATAAAATGTGTCGACGACAGCGACGATTCCAAGGCGGAGCTGACAACAGAGGTAATTTACAACGTTTTTCATTATTTCAGGTCGATGCATTCCTTGGCATTTGATTAACAAAATAAAAGAAAGAAAAAAAGAAAATAAGAAAGAAATAAGAGAAAATAAATTAAAGAACAAATCTTAGAAAGCAGGATGAAATATTGACATTGAAAATATGATAAAAATTATATAATATTAAAATGAACCCTCTCGTAATTATTTATAACTATATCAACGTTCCCTTAGTTATTTCAACTAACACAGCTATGTTGAACATTTATGCGTTTTTCACGTTCTATTTCATTTTATCAGCACAATATCTTTCGTTTCGCTTATTCGAATACGCTTTCTCCCTCACTTCCCTCCCACTTTCTCTTTCTCTCTCTCTCTCTCTCTCTCTCTCTCTCTCTCTCTCTCTCTCAATATTTCTCATTCGTAGTTCTCGAAGATGAACGACGAAGAATATTGTTAATGGCCCTACGTGCCGAGTCACTGCAGAGAGTATTTTTGGAACCGGTTGCACCTTTGGTTTGATGTTGCTCGATAAGACAATTTTTTTGGTGATCTAATTTTTCTTATAGTGATGATAATAATAATAATAATAATAATAATAATAATAATAATAATAATAATAATAATAATAATAACAATAATAATAATAGTAATAATAATAATAGTAATAATAATAATAATAATAATAACAATAATAATCGTTATTACATTTGACCGACTTAAGAAGGCAATCAGCTTGCTTCGTCCTTACGTTTTTTTTTTTATTATTTTCGTCTCCCTTCATTTTCATTTCTCTAAGTAAAAGTATTCTCCAATGTAACGAAAAAAAGAAAAAAAAAAAAAAAAAAAAAAAAAATAGAAAGAAAGAAAAAGAATGCAAAATAAACAAGAAAATATCGACGGGTACTTTAATCTCCAAGAACAATTCTTTTTTTCGCTTTTTTCGTTTTCTTTTCTTTTTTCCTTCCTTTTTTTCCCCCTTTTTTTACGATAGAATAGAGAACCATTAATTATAGTGTTCGAACGCGTGCCGCAGGTAGCCGCCAAGAGACCGAAGATGGACAGTTCGAGACCATCGAGGACAAGAAGAAAAGTTAAAGGATCCCACGAATTGAAGGTGTCGTCTGAGATAACGTTGAAGGAACTTAAAGTTATGGTAAGTATTCTTACTCCTCCTTTCTTTATATCTTTCTTTCTTTCTTTCTTTTTTTTTTCTTTTTTTAAAAATCATTCGATCAGCAAAGGAAAAAAGAAAAAAGGAAAAAGAAAAAAGAATTGAACTCGTCTCGCGATTCGTTCGTATCGAGACGGCGGACTTTGGCAGGCAGCCACCCCTGAAGGAGAAACAGTGGGCAGTGGAGTCCAAGGTAGCTCGTTTGCTCGTTCTCCATTCCCTTCCCCTCCCCCACCCCACCCCTCAGTTCCGCTCGTCCGCCCGTTCGTCCTGACCGTCCTGCCCGCCACTGTGCCACCCCCTCCTTCCCTCTTCCAAGCATCCCTATATCCCTTGGTCTTCCTTCTTCGGGCCGGCGCATCGCATCGCCGGACGAAAGTAGTAAAGCGTAGTTATGGCTGGTTAGCATATGCCTGGGCCCTGGCAGTGTGCTTAAACTATTAAGCGTATTTATATTGCGAGGGCTGGGGCCATCTCCCTTTCTTGGCTTGGGCAACCGGCAAAAAGCCGAAAGAGCATAAACCTCGCGCTAATAACAGGCCTCCGACTTATCCACTCCACTTCACTCCACTTCGCTCCACTCAGACTTCCATCTAAGTCTCTCCTTTTCTCTCCTTTTCTCTCTCTCTCACACACACACACAAACACACACGCACATACTTTCTTTTTCTCATTCCTCTTTTCTTCTTCTCTTCTTTCTTCCTTCATTTCTTATCTTTTCTTCTTCTTCTTCTTCTTCATCTTCTTTTTCTTCTTTTTTTTTCGCTTTTTTTCTTTCTCTTTTTTCTCTTTTTTTTTTTATTTTTAATTTCTTTTTTATTTCTTTTTTATTCTTTTTCTTTTTTCTCTCCGCGTTACCGCTGCCTCTCCTTCTCCTTCTTTCTCTAACGTTTCTCTTTCGTTGTCCCATAGAGGGGATCTACCTTGAAGCCAAAGTTGATCTTTTCTAATATCTTCTGGTAAACTCTTCGTCGCGCGTCAATGGGAATACACAAAGCACAATCTTCTTTCATTCATTCGTTCATTCATTCGTTCATTCGTTCTTTCGTTCTTTCGTTCGTTCATTCATTCCTTCTTTCCCTTCATTCGATTTCATTCGATTTTACGGCAAACACTTCGACGATGAAAAGAAGGTGAACTCTTCACGCGTTAGACCGTTATTGGAAAATATCGAGAGAGTGAGAGAAAGAGAGAGAGAGAGAGAGAGAGATGCGGATCAAGGGTGCCGGATCAGCAGCTCTCCTCGTCATTCTGGAGGAGAAATATGTCGAGCGAGCGCGCGTTCTTCGCTTTTTACGTCTTGGCAAAAAGGTGCGAAGCTCGATAAAAATGTTTGAATTTCATGGTCGAGTGCGGACAAGTGGTGGTAGCGTGCGCCCGCGAAACAGAGAGAGAAAGATAGATAGATAGATAGATAGATAGATAGATAGATAGATAGATAGAGAGAGAGAGGGGGAGAGAGAGAGAGAGAAATAGAAACAGAGACAGAGAAAAAGACAGAGAAACATGATGGGCAACCCGCAATGGCGTTGGCGTTTACGTAATCGTCGTAAACTCGATATTACTTTCTATCACATTCCAAGTACCCCGTTCGATTCTTTTTCCTCGATCGTTCTTTCACCGAGAACTATAGTGTTTTGAAAGGCGAAAAAAAAAATATATATATATATATTGTAGAAAGAAATTATAAAAATAAAAAAGAAAATAAATAAAAAAGAGATTAAAAAAGGATAAATATAAATAAAAATAAAAATAAAAGTAATCTTAGAGAAATATAGTTTTGTGTTTTTTCGCCGAACGACGATTGTTGTCATCGTCATCTTTCGAAGAGAGAGAGAGTGAGAGAGAGAGAGAGAGAGTGAGAGAGAGTGAGAAAGAGAGAGAGAGAGAGAAACGGTAGGAGAGATTTCTTTTGGAGCAACAGTACCGTGTAATTACAGCTCACTGTTCCTGCCGTTGCCGTTGGAGATTCTAATGATCGAGGGAAGGCTTAATGTCGTCGCCGGGAAATTCGTGGAATTACGTAAGAACGCGTTTAATTGTGGGAGCCGATTCGTTCTGGTAGATAGAACGATAATACGTCGACAACGGTCCACGAATGTTACCGTTTCTCAGTTAACTTTGCCATTGTCAACATATTGGACGCACAATTTTGTACGAAACTATATATATATATATATGTATATGTATATATTTTTTTTTTTTTAATTTAATAAATTTTCTTTGTTTTTTTTTTTTTTGTTATTTAGACGGGACGAAAAATCGGTATGTAATAATAAATCGTAACGAAAGGCATATGTATCAGGGAGTTTATTTTTATCGATGAGAATTCAAGAATAGCAGTTGGTTTCGATTATCTCTGTAGCTGTTGCTGTTGGTGTTACTATTGCTGTTGTTGGAAGAGGCTGAAAGGATCGAACTTTAGTTAACCAACGGCTTTACTCACCAGCAATTTTCCAGCCACACCTACTCTGCCTTCTCGATCCTGTTAAACCCACCTCTATTTATCGCTTTTGTCGGATGGTTTTCGTTCTCGGGGTTGGAAGAGAAGAGACTTCAACGAAGAACCTTCTTCGAGATTTCATGACTCTTCTACTATTCTCTTGGAAGATAGGTTTCTTATCTTTGACAATAGAGAACAAAAATAAATAAATAAATAAATAGTTCTTGGTATTGTTAAATAAATCTTTCTTCGATCGATTTATCTAATAATCGATATAATTTATATTTATATTATTTAGGAACAATTTCGTTTAATAAATATATAATACATATATAGGTTTTTCGTTGAATTTTAATTTTTAATTTGAAAACGTATAAAAATTACTTCTCATTGTCCATTGGCCTTTGGCACATTATTTATATCTCTACTCTTTGAATTTATCTTTAATTAACAAAATATACAAATTATTTTTTGTTTTGTCTTTTCTTTCTTTCTTTCTTTTTTTTTTTTCTCCCATAATCTATAGCCTCATATTCTCATAATCTATAATTAAATAATTATAAACGAGTGGTAAATTTTTTTTTATTTATTTATTATTAATCAACAACGTAGCAAAAAAAAAAAAAAGAAAGAAATAAAGAAGTAATTCTCTAACCTAATCACCATGGGAATAAATTTAACAAGGAAAGTTTTACAAGAAGGATTTATTTTTCTTTATTTATTTATTTATTTATATTTTTTTTACTGCAAACGAATTTAGACGATGTAAAAGAGGTTCCTTCTCAAATAGGATGAGTAGAAGATGGAAGAGAAAGAAGAGGTGAGTTATTCCGCAGACAGTTTAAGTCGGTTTACGTTGGAAACGGTATAACCAGGGGTTTATACGTCTCCTTTCTGTGTGCACATCTTCTTTCGCGTAACGTATTCTCCTTCTCTCTCTCTCTCTCTCTCTCTCTCTCTCTCTCTCTCTCTCTCTCTCTCTCTCTCTCCCTCTTTCTCTGCTTTCTTTTCTCTTTCAACGTGGAAGAGGTCTCGGTTACTCGTTCGCTCGTAAAACCGAAGCAACCTGCGCGTTTACACCGACACCGGCATTGGACCAACGGATCATCCAAGATGAGAGGAAGAAGGAAAGAGAAAAGGACGCGGTCAATGGGGTTTATCGCGAGCAAATGTTCCTGCCTCTTTCGAAGCACCAACGTTGCTTTCACAAATTAAGCAATTACCTGGACGCATGCGCTCTTCTCCTGCACATGCTCCTTTTCTTCAAACTTTCGAGAATCCAAAGTGCCTTTTGCCGTCCATTTTCTTTCCCTTATTAGAGTACCTATTTCTTCTTTCGTTCTATTTTATCAGTACCAAGATAACACTGATATTATCTTATTTTTCGAATAATACAAATTAATTTATTACAAGAGAATGACTTTGTTCTTCGTCTTATTGTTGACGTTGTTGTTATTGTTGTTATTATTGTTATTGTTGTTATTGTTGTTATTGTTGTTATTGTTGTTATTGTTGTTATTGTTGTTATTTATTTCTTTGTTTAGACGATGCAAATTTGCGGCGCTGGACCATATGATCAGCATCTTATGTTGGGTGAACACGAGCTTACCGATCACAGTCAAAGTTTGGCGGCTCTTGGGATATTTCCAGGAGCATTATTGACTTTAAAGGTGAGTTGAATTTTTTCGTAAAAATGAATTAGAGAGAGAGAGAGAGAGAGAGAGAGAGAATTTTAACGTTAGAAATTTTTATATATTTATGCGTGTATGTATCTAACTATTTGAATCATTTTATATCGATTTAAATTAAATCGACCATATAAAACGATTTTCTTATATAATAAGAAAAGTATTTGAATTGGCGCGTAATGTTCGAATGAAGTGTCGCCAGAACGATACGTTTGTTTTGCTCGAAGACAAGAACAGTGACAAAGAGATGCAATTTAGATTTAAGATCTAGCGACCGTTTCCCTTAAGCCCAAGACAATGGATAAGTAACGCCGGCAATGGTCGAAGATAACGCTAAGAGCGACGTTCTCGTTTTGGGATTAACTTGAAACGCCTTACTTGAGATTAGAAGCGTTAATTGGACTTACCACTCGAGAAATCGGAACCGTTAAGATTTCCCATTGAGGCTACGAAAGAGTTCGTTTGTCTTGGATAGATCTACTTAATTATAGCTATTTCTGTATCTAAGAGGAACTAATGTATTTTGAATTGCAATAACGTGATATTTTATTTTCAAGAATCGTCGGCATAATCCTGGAATTTTTCATTATTTTATATCCAAATAAATAACACAAACAATAGTATTTTCTGTTTATACTTCTTGTAAATATTTCTTCTTTTTTTTTGTTTTTTTTCTTTTTATATAACATATGGATATATAATTATTAGGTATAGTATTAGGTGTAATGATAATAAAAAATAATAATAATAATAATAATAATAATAATAATAATAATAATAATAATAATAAACTAGATAGTACAGTATTTGTCTAGAGTCAATAAGTAATATTGGAAATTTTCAAATATAAATAAAATAATATAAAATAAAGTAAAATAAATAAAGAAGAAATTTTTTATTAAAAAAAAATATATATATATTCATATAGTTAGATATGTATATATAAATATTTATATATTAATATAATAATATATATATATATATTTAAATATAAAATTAGCCAATGCAACACATTGGTCAATCTAATGCAATCTCAAACTTATATATATATATATATGTATGTATCAGATTGACATTTGTATTTTAAAGAAGTCTGTTAAAATCAATATTGATCATATACGAAGTCACCATCGCAAAAAAAAAAAACTGAAAAGAAAGAAAGAAAAAGGGAAAAAGAAAGGATTGACAATTCCGCTCGATCGATAATATCGATTTTGATTGCAACTGAGAGATGAGATCTCGGTGTGGAACTGGTATTAGATTTCTTTCTCTTTCACTTTTTTTTTTTTTTTGTTACTTTATCTCAGACTGACCACGCGTATACATCTTCTCGGTGAAAATTCAATGGACATCATTCGTTAGCTTGGTCTGGTTTAGTTTGATTTGGTTTGGTTTGATTTGGTTGATTTGCCCGTCGAAGACGAAGACTAAGGCGAAGGCGAAAACGAAGACGAAGACGAAAACGAAGACGACGACGACGTTCTTGGGCTTTTTGTCGATTAAAAAGTGCGACCGAGCGCACTCCCGCGATGTTCGAGCGGTCGTTGAGCGATTCCTCAGCGAGAGAAAAATTCTCTCTCTCTCTTCTTCGGTTCGTTTCGTTTCGTTCGACGACGGCGGCGCTCGTCGTTGGAATAATTTCAGCATTCCGTCGCATTCCTCCGTTCACAGTCGACTGATTTTATGAAAGCGAGTCGAACGAGTCGAGCGAGAGAGCGGCACTCGCCACTCGAAGACTTTAAAACCGTTAACTTGTGACGTGCCTTCTCTCTCTTTCTCTCTTTCTCTCTCTCTCTCTCTCTCTCTCTCTCTCTCTCTCTCTCTTTCTCTCTTTCTTTTTTTCTTTTCTTTTCTTTTTTTTTCTCTTTTAAGAGAGAAAGAGAATTACGAGCAAGCATCGCCTCTCATCTCCCGACTAGTTTACAGGCTGTGGTTACACTAGCTGCGAATTATAATCGGCAACCGCCTTACCTTACCTTGCTTTGACTTGCCTTGCCTTGCCTTGCCTTGCCTTGTCTTACCTTGCTTTGCCTTGCCTTGCCTTGCCTTGCCTTGCCTTGCTTTGCCTTGCCTTGCCTTGCCTTGCCTTGCCATGCCGTGGAGAATTCAACGTAGACCTCTCGACTACACCTGGAAATCGTTTCGCCGATTTTAAACGCTCCACCGATCTCGCGTTGACCTGAAAACTGCCGTCCGATATTATTTTCTTTTATCTTTCATTTTTTTTCCTCTCTTTCTTTCTTTCCTTCTTTCTCTCTCTCTCTCTCTCTTTCTCTTTCTCTCTCTCTCTATCTCTATCTCTATCTTTCTCTCTTTCTGTTTCTTTCTCTGTTTGTCTCTTTCTCCCTCTCTCTCTGTATTCTTTTTTCTTCTTGATCATTATCCCGAATAATCTATTTTTCTCATGATACTAAAATCATGTCAATTATATCATATGACCGTTAGGTCCTATCTAATATTAATTAATAATATTAAGTGTATTTTAATTTAGTTGATTAATTATGTTTATCTTTCTTATATATCTATTATTATAAATCATTCAACAATTTGTTATTGTTGGAAAATGTTGTAAGATATATTGTTTGCGGATGATCAATATAGATGTATATTATCCGCATACGATATTTAAGTATACGATTCGATAGAATGTAACGATGACAAACAAGCCTTTTGCGGAATAGGTTTTATGCCCTTTAACGGCCTATTTACGATCGTAGTTAAAACGAGCTTGAAAAAAATTGGGGTAGAGTAAGGAATATAATCGTGAGGTTAGTCGATTCCGTTGAAAAAAGATCGAGTTAAAGAGATTCCAATGGTTGAAGCTTAAGAAAAGAGGAAGAGGAGTCTGTAAAGTCGGATGCTCGTTAGATGAGATCCAATGCCAGATCGTAAAGATCATTGGGTAGTTATCTCGGGTAAACGTAAAACGTGAAAGACTTTTAAAGGATAAATTCGTAAGATTCGTGGAATCGAATGCATAGAAATCTTTTCTTCTTCTTCTTTTTTTTCTTCTTTCTTACTTTTTTATATTATGTATTATTAATTATTTACTTTTTTATTTATTTATATTTATCTCGAATAATCAGAATGATTTTCTGACTCGTACCTACATATATCTATCTATCTATTCAACGATGAGACAAAGTCCGAGTTGTAAAAGCACCGTGAAGCTGTTCTCTGCAGCGAGAGCTATGTCTGTCCTTGATCCTGAGCTACCGATCGGATATCAGGGAACACAATGACCAGGATGACTTGCAAGGGGATCGCCGATCGAACTTCTTGCTAGATATTAAATATCGCATCGTCATTCTTCGCGCAATTCAAGGTCACGCTTACAAAATTGATATATCTTTGCCATCTACGTCCACCTTACTTTAATCTTTTTTTTTTTTTCGTTTTCTTTTTTCTTTCTTTTTCTTTTTTTTCCTTTTTTTTCCTTTTTTTTTCCTTTTTTTTTTTTTTTTTTTTTTTTTTTTACGTTAATGGATACAGATTAACGAGTTTAACCATATAGGTATACTTACTTGCTTAATCAGCAATAGGCGTTCTTATTTCTATCGCTAACCGGAATAACGATTTCGTATGCTCTTTTACAAGGACATGGATATTATTCATTTGAAAAGAAAACTTTAATTGTACTTGAAACATTTCGATTTCAAAATTATTGAGTTCCAACGATAGTTTGAGAAATATATATTTATATATATATATATATATATATATATATATATATATATATATCAACATAGATAGAGAACAGGTATATATATATATATTTTTTTTTTCTTAAATTAATCCTTATCACTCCCATATGGATAGTAATGATGCCAATAGGATTATATATTCATTCGTTCCTTTCTTTTTTATTTTTACGAATAAGCAAACAATCCTTTTAAAAATAATTGTAATACCTAATTAAAGACACATTAAAATTCATTAATCTTGATATTTCTTTAGAATTGCCTTACGAACATGTTATTATTATCCTTGAAAGAGTAATAATAGATGTGTATGTTTATGCATGGATTATATAAAAATTGTATGATCAAAAGAATTGATAGAGAAAAGGAGAGAATGAGAGAAAGAGAGAGAGAGAGAGAGAGAGAGGGAGGGAGAGAGAGAGAGAGATAGAGAGAAATGGAAGATGCGTCTCTTTGGAAGACAGTCGAGCATTAGAGGCGATAATAACGACAAGAAGCAATATCGTTTGGTACAAAGTCAGCTCGTTCTCTTCCCTTCACTTTTCCCCATTTTTTTGCAATTCCTCGTCGGTGTGCTCTTCATGGCTGATCGAGCGGAGTCTTTAGAGTCGGTCCGTCGAGTCTCCAACGGGCGGCACCCGCGTTTGATGTCGTGTGACGAATGTCCGCGTTGGACGCGCTCTTCTCTCTCTCTCTCTCTCTCTCTCTCTCTCTCTCTCTCTTCTCTCTCTCTTTCTGATCTTCCTCGTCGGTCTTCGCTACTTTTCTTCCTCTCTTTTTCTCTCTTACGCGCGCTCTGGTAAAAGAGAGAGAGAGAGACCGAGAGAGATCGAGAGAGAATCCCGTATTACGGAGTCTCTCTCTCTCTCTCTCTCTCTCTCTCTCTCTCTCTCTCTCTCTCTCTCTCTCTCTCTCTCTCTCTCTCTCTCTCTCGTAGCAAGCCCCAGCAACTCTACCTTGCCAACAGAAAATTGGAAACATCCGATAGGGGCTTTTATACTCACAACCCGAAGCTACACAGTAAAAAGGAAGAGGCGCGAGGCTGGAACCGAAAAATAAGTCGATCGATCGATTCGCGTGGCTACTGCTGCCGCCGCGCGACGTTCATCCGCATCGTTCGCCTGAGTAATTCCTTCCTTCCTTCCTTCCTCTCTTTCTTCCTTTCTTCCTTCCTTCCTTACTTTCTTTCTTTCTTTCTTCCTTCTTCCCTTCATGCGTTCTCTTCTATGTTTGGTATCAACGTACAACTCGTATTGTCCGTTGTATTAAGTTGGACCATTT